TGTACAGTCTTTTAGGTAAATATTTCATTTCTGTTCATAAAATACATTCATAAATCACACCCTGATAAATGTTTTCATGCATTGGTGGAACCTTAAAATAACATTAGGTAGGAGAACTACCAAAATAAGTTCTATAGCCAGAGTTTAATTGTCTATAACAGAACTGCTCAATCTATAATAATAAAAGCCTAATATGCTAATTAGACCAGACATCCTTCCGGACGAAGCTGAAGCGGTGGGGGCAGAGGCAGAGGTGGCCACTGCAGCTGCATTGGGCCTCTAACAGAAATATGAAGGTGAAGTAAATGTTAATAAAACACTTGACTCAGTATATTCAAAATACTATAATTTCAATATGAAATCAATATAAAAATTGAGAACCAACCAACAAAGGAATTGTATTAAAAATACTAGGAATTCTTAAAATTCAATAATAAAAAAGCACCATCAGTAGAAAAAAGTAGACAAGCAACTTAAGCAGACACTTTACAGAGGAGAATATACAAATGGCCAATAAACATGTAAAAATATGCCTAACTTCAATAATAATTCTGTCAATGCCAGTTAAAACCACACTGAAAAGGAGAGCTGTGCACACAGTCAGGGCGAACAAAGACAAAGTGGAATGCACTGCATCTCTGCATCTTTCTTTCACCACAGGAAACCTTAGTGTCCTGCCTAAGGCTTCCTTCCCCCTCCCAGATCTCATGCTGCTTTACTTTTGGTGAATTTTAACCAGGAGCCACATGGTTCCCAGTATAAACAGATTGACAATGGAATAATCCAGCACAATGAACCATGATAACACACCGTATTTACTAAAATGAAAGAAGACTGGTGATATCAAATGTTGATGAAGCTGTAGGACAACTGGAATTACTGGCAAGAATGTAAATTGGCAGAATTTCATTGGAAACTGACATTTTTTACTGAAGTTAAAAAATGTATAGAATAATATCTAGCCAAAAAGTACATCTATAAAACATTCATAGAATTATTATTATTATTAGTCCTCACCAAGGATATTTTTTCTATTGATCTTCAGACAGCATGGAAGGGAGGGAGGAGCGGGGGGGGGGGGGGGGGGGGGGAGAAAACCATCAACACGAGAGAGGTTGCTTCCTGCATGGTCCCCAACCGGGGCTGGGGATCAAATACACAACTAAGATATGTGCTCTTGACCCAGAATCGAATCGGCTTTCATGTATGAGTCTGCCCTATGCTCTGTTTTGTTCCATTACAGCCTTTTGAAAGCAAAGTGCTGTGCTTGTGGCAAGTTCTTACACGATGAAGGAGTTCTAGAGTTAAGTGGAATTAGTTTATTCAAGAAAATCTAGGAAGTGGTATGAGGGCATTTATCCTTAAACCAGAAGTTACCTATTATCAGTAATAAAGCCAAGTTTAGTAGTCAAAACCTCTAAATATAAAACGTATAGAGGATTACCTCCAAGTTTTTTTGATGATACATTCTTATCAATAAATGATGCTTGAGCATATATTTATTTGTTATTAATAAATTATATGTAGTACCTACATATAGTATTTATACATATTACTACAATATGTTATTTCCAATATAAAATACACAACATTAGAATTACAAAAGGAAATCATTAAAACAAAAATTAAAATCTTTATATTTTCTTACTGTACTCCTTTATCAGCCAAGGTGTGCTGGGTTATGTGTGCAAATAATCCTCAAATTTCGGTGGATGCAAACAGCACAATTTATTTCTCTCCTGTTATATGTTTGTTATGGTTTGGCTTCAGCACCCTTTGGCACTGCTCTCACTCTAGAGTCTAGACTGAGGGAACAGCCATTTTTGGGAGCGTGTTGGTCACGGGAACAGAGGGAAGGTAAGGGGAACGAACACTAAAGCCTCTGCCTGGATGTGGTACATGTCACTTCCCACATTTCATTTTCCAACAATGACATGTCCTCACCCAATTGCAAAGAAGAAAAATCCTAACCCTGTGCCCAGGAGGAAGTGAGTATTTTAGGCCTCACCAAAAACTATCACCTCTGAAAAGACATTTCAGAGACTATGGCCCTGGTTTAGTGTTTGCCTAACAGTGTTTCCCAAACTTCTCTCATGATGAGAATCTCCTGGTGGAGTTGTTAAAATACAGATTCCTGAATCCCAACTAAGAAGTGCTAAACTAGAATTCTTGGGAACATATAGGTAAAATTGTATACTTAACTTAGTGTTCCAAGACAGAGTATACAATTTTACCTTAACTTAGTGTTCCAAGACTCTGTATACAATTTTACCTATATGTTCCCAAAAATTCTAGTTTAGCACTTCTTAGTTGGGATTCAGGAATCTGTATTTTAACAACTCCACAAGGTAATTCTCATCATGAGAGAAGTTTGGGAAACACTGGCCTAAGAAAATAAACACACAAAAACAAGTCCTTTTAGTTTTTCCATTCCAGGTTGTTTTTAAAACCCAGCAATCCCAAGAAATGAGTCTATTACAACTACAGGCTTGTGGTCCCTCTTGCTAAAAACTCCTTAGTAGCTTCACTGTGCACTCATGCAACCCAGACACAACGTGGTCTGCAGTCCTTACCTCTTTCAAGCTGCCTCTCCTGCCGCTCACGCCACCCCTCACCCTTACTGACCTTTCGGTTCCCTGAAGGAGACGTGCGCTCCTACTTCTGCCCTGAGTGCTTTCCTACCTTTCTCCTTGCTTTTACCTGCTTGTTCTTTAGCTTTTAGGTCAAATATTTCCTCTAGAAAGTCCCCCGTGACTCCGGGGTAGATAGAGCCTTCTCTTGCCGATGGTCTCATAATACTCTGTTGCTTTGCTTTCAGAAAAGCTGTCCCAGAGTTTTTGTGTGCGAGCATGTGCTGTTTTTTCATCTTTACCTGAGGATATGTGGTGCTCATTTTTTGTTTTGTTTTGTTTTGTTTTGTTTTTAGAACGAGTAAGGGAGAGAGAAACCTCAGTGTGAGAGAGAAGCATATATTGGTTACCTCCCATTATGCACCTGCCTGGGAATCAAACCCTCACCCTATTTGGTGCATGGGACAATGCTCCAACCAACTGAGCCACCCGGCCAGGTCTATTCCAGCTTTTAAAGTCTGTTTCTCCAGTTAGTGTGCAGGCTTCAAGGGAGCAAAGCTCAAGTCTGTTTTGCTCACCACTGTATGCTGCTGCTTCTGTTTATCCACATTACTGGTGTGTAATAGAACTCATTAAATATTAAGTTTGGTTATAGTTTTATGTTTGTGACATTTATGTGGTCTTGAGAAGAATGTGTTCTTTGGTCCTTAGAGAACAATTTGATACTAAGAAGTTAATCACACAAACTGCAAATACACTGTTGCTCCATGCCTCTGTGTCTTGGGACATCTGAGAGAATGCAGAGTAGGAATGCTTTTCCCATTCTCTCTGATTAGAGTAACCCTCACTTGGATTTTCACATTATTTAAGTGATTTTTCTCTTCCCATTTTTTGAGTGATATTTTCATGTTTAACTTAGAAGCCCTACAGTCTGAGGGGATATATCACATTTAACATAAATGGCAGTGAGTATATTATATAGACATACTGAATAAATAAATAAGTTGTGTGATACTAAGGTGTGTGGGGAGGGTTTGTTTGTTTTTGTTTTTTTGTTTTTTGGTGTGTTTTTTTTAGCTTCTGGTGATGATACTGAATTACCAAAACATGTGGTTTATTTTCGTGATACTTTGCATCAGCAAAAGGACATCTGCTAGATACTTGGAAAATGCTTACCTACATATTTATGTCTCTCACTATTTGTCTTCATTTAGATGTGTTGTGGGGAAACTTTAGTATTTTCTGTTTCTCTTTTCAGAAAGAATAACAAATTTGATCAATTTACTTGTCTCTATGTCTCATTGTGGACTATAGGTTCTGTTCGTCATTTAAAATGCCAATGTTCTAATAGAGATATCTCCTATAATGATCATCCTATAGGTGGAATAGATAGGATAATACAGATATGGTAATCTATACGCCTCTCATAGTTGTGTTCCCCATTTCATTCTAGAAGAGAACCTTTTCTTCTCATCAGTATGAACTGATGGGAAGCAAAGGAACTTGAGTAAGGATTGTATTTTCAGGGCCTATCTGTTTAAGAAATATTTATTAGATATCTATTTTGTGCCAGAAGCTGGGAAAACTAAGAAACTAAGATGTAAAATGTAAAAACTTTCTATAAGGTTTTACATTTTTGTTTCAAATGATAATCCTATGTAATAAAAGGGCAATATTCAAATAGACCAAAAGACAGAACAACCAATCAATCAATCAAAGCATAATATGCTAATGATATGCTAAGGCTCATCATCTGTTCTCTATGATGTGCACTGACTACCATGGGGCAGATGCTCCAAATGGTAGGTTAGTTTGCTGCTGGGGCCTGGCCAATCGGGATTGAGCGAGAGGGACCGGACACACCCTGAAGCTCTCCCGTGGTCCCTCCCCAGCCCGTTCATGGACCACTGTGGTCCCTCAGCCTGGCCTGCATCCTCTCGCAATCTGGGACCCTTCAGGGATGTCAGAGAGCCGGTTTCAGCCCCATCTTGCAGGCCACTCCCTTTGGGAGGGCGCCAGATTCAGGGCTCATGGCTGGCGAGTGCTGCTGCTGCAACAGCACAAGCATCTCCCGATTGGGACTGATTGGGCGCAAGCCCGAAGCAGGCACAGTGGGGCCAGGATGAGCAGGAGTGGTTGGTAGGAGCTATAGGCGGCAGAGTTCTCCACGGGCAACTCTGAGATCTTATTCTCCCCAGGTATAAATCTTTGATCCCTGTCCTTTATATGTCTTTAGCATTTATCACATTATTAAAAAGTAATTAGAGTGTTTTACTCTCCCACTAGCTTGTGAGTTCCTTGAGAGGAAAGACCTTAATTCATTCATCATTGTATCACTAAAACCAGTAGGCATGCAGTAAAAATATTGAAATAATGAATTGAGATTTGGTTTAATTTTGTTTTGATTTCAATGTATTCTTATTATTCTAGGTTCTTGGCCTTGTTCAAAATATGAGTGTTTTCCAGTGCCCAAAATGTAAACACAAGACTCATATTTTTGGTGCTGATGGTGCAAGGAAACTAGCACAGATCCTTGGTCTTGATATTCTAGGTAAGATCATAGAATATTTTTTTAAATATATGTTTTGTGATCTCAGAGAGGAAGAGACAATAGAAACATCAATTATGAGAGAGAATCGTTGATAGACTGCCCCCTGCTCACCCCACACTGTGGATCAAGCTCACAACTTGGGCATGTGCCCTGACTGGGAATGGAACCGTGATCTGGTTCATAGGTCAATGCTCAACCACTGAGCCATGCTGGCTGGGCATAGAATATTCTTTTGCAGAGGAAATGGTAGAAGGGAAAACAGAGATCAGGTATGGTGATGAAAAGTGTCTCAGAAAATAATGAATTGCTTTTGGCTTTGTGTTTTAAATTAACTTGGCTTAGCGCAGTTCTATGTGCTATGCTTTCTTTGGCTTTTTATAATACTTCATTTGTGGAAGGCTTTTTAAAAGGAAGTTTGTTCTGCCAATTTTGATGCTTTCTGCTATTGATAAAAACTGCTTATAACTTGAATTTGAGAAGAGAGTTTTGTGGTCTGAGTACTGTGAAGCCCATGTTTTAGTGATCATTAGTTTGCTGCATTGGGAACACATCTCTTTTTACCGGTATGTATGGAAATACCTGTTCATTATATTGCAGGAAACTTTGGAAGTGTCACTTCTTGGTGCATATGAAAAAAAATGCCTTTCTGATCAGTTCTGAATGTATCAGTCCTTCTGCTCTAGAAAGACAATATTTTGTTTTCTGGAATCTTCTCATATGTGTTTGCTATGTCTATAAGAGGTGGCACTTGAAATTTACATTGTATATACTGTTCATGTTATTGAATTGAAGGGTTAATTAGTATTATGAGAAGTGAAATCATGTGTTAATTGAATAAAACACAGATTTTTGATAAAACATGACTTTTAAAAGATCCACAAGCAACCTAATGAACTTATGAGAAAACATGTTTTGATATTCTGCTTATTGAATGAGTTATTGTTCTGGGGAAGGCAGATGTTAGATGCTGAGTAAGGGAGTCATAGAGTGGGTTATTAGTTATAGGTAGTTTACAATTAAGACCCCTTTAGAGATCAAGGAATTTCAAAACATGCTCTATTATAATTACATTTCTAAAAATGTAATTTGATGTTAAATGTATTATTGTTATTATGCATTTGTACCATAGCAACCATCACAATTCAAGGTGAATACTAGTGATATATTTTGATACATTGTTACAATTATAGTCACTAATGATATTCTGTAACTGTTTTCATTTACCTAACCTAAAAAGCTCAGTTTCTTAAATCTGCATGATAACATAACAGATTGACATTCATTTAATAAAGTAAATGTATAATTATAATGGCATTATTAAATTATGTTGACAATATTATAATTCCCTAATTTATAAATGGGTGGTACCTTTTTGTAAGTCAGTGATTTAGACTTTGAAACCTCTCCTAAAGAAACAGTCTCACATATGGAAATTACTTTTTAACCAACAGCTCAGAAATGTATAGTTACACTAAAAAAAAATCAGCAACACTGATTACTGATCTCAAAACTGGATAATGCCAGAGACTGCTGTCTCTAACAGTGTATGGGAAACAATTTAGAACTCCAATTCAGAGCCATCTCCTCCTTTCAACGCAGTCCTGGAGGCCCAGAGGTAGGGCCCGTGAACTTGAGCAGGGGCTCCAATAATGAAGAGGTTAGAATTGAAAATTAGAAACTGAAATAAAACAAAGAGCTCTCACAATTATGGGCTCCGACTGGTTGAAGCCCCCAGGCATCCTCACTGGTCTCTTACTGACTCTCTGGCTGCCTCAGGTTATTTCATCCAGTGAGCTGTGTTTTAAATTTGTTAAAATAGCTTTTCGGAACTTTATCCACACTTATCTTCTACAGGGACAGTGTACGCATGATAGTTAAGATCTCAGGTTACCTCACAGAAACACCTTTAATCTCTGAAATATGCCCTCCTTTCCTTCAGACCTAGCCATTCTCCACACCTTTACTCCTTTTTATCCTTCTCTGTATACAGCTGTAGTCCCTTAACACTCTCAATATGCCGCCTATTTTCTAACAAGGTTTTCCTCTTTTTTGGTCTATGTTTGTATCTCTGGGAGGATTGAGAATCTATGGAAGGCAAAAATTATGCAGTAGGTGGTTGTATAAAAGAGAAGGTTTTATTTTTATTTTTCCCAGTACTATAATAGCAGTTCATAAATCAAGAGAAAAAAACCTTTAAGAGTTTCTAAGTATTTTCTATAACATATATTCCCCTGCCTGTTCTTGTGACAACTTCCTATTGTCTTAGTTGATCTGTAGAACAGACATAAATTTACTAAAAAGGTAATCTTTAAATGGTTACCTAAATATTCATATATTTTTGTCGTTTGTCTATTGAACATTTAGAAAGATTTAAAGAGTTGGTTAAGATTTCAAAATGTGCTGATAGGAGGAGCATACTTCATAATATAAATTGTAGTAGGTTTGAAATGTTGTATCATATAATCTGCATTATTTATATTGCCTGGCATAGTCCTGAATGACTTATTTATATAAAACACATGTATACACACATTCCAATGATCTTCCCATGGATTTGGAGTGGTTCTAGGAATGCTGAGTGCTCTGACGAGTCAACTCTTCTACTTAAGGCTCCATTTGCTGCCTTTGGGAAGCCATTGTTAGTGATGGGGCAGTGGAGAGAGTCAGCTGGATGGTGAATCCCAGCATTTCCCCTATTACACTACCTAATGGTAATTTATCATCAGCAAAGACACATCCTTGCAGACCTCAAGTCTGCATATTGGAGATTCTCATTGTATACGTCCTGAGGTCTCATCAAGCTCACAAGTTTTAACACTAAAAGATTAATCTATATTAATAAAAGCCTAGGTAGTCCTTGCACCCTCCCACAACACCCTCACATCATCACAAGATGTCCACCATCACATCACAAGATGGCCATAATAAGATAGCAGGGGAGGGCAGTTGGGGGTAACCAGGCCTACAGGGGAGGACAGTTGGGGGCAATCGGGCTGGCAGGGGAGGGTAGTTGGGGGCTATTGGGCTGGCAGAGGAGAGCAGCTAGGGGCAATCAGGCAGGCAGACAGTCAGGAGAGCAGTTAGGAGCCAGCAGTCCCAGATTGTGAGAGGGATGTCCCCCAAGGTGTCCCCCAGATTGTAACGGGTGCAGCCTGGGCTGAGAGACATCCCCCCCTGTGCACAAATTTCATGCACTGGGCCTCTAGTCCTATCTAATAAAGAGGGAATATGCTAATTGACCCTCACATCGTTACAAAGATGGCAGAGCCCACAGCCAATAAGGAAGGGACATGCTAACTGACTGCCCCGCCCTCAAAGATGGTGGTTTCCACAGCCACAAGATGGTGGCACCCAGTCCCCTCAGCCCCCCAGCCTCCCAGGGCCTGCCCAAGGTGCAGGGAAGCCTCGGATGGCAGATGCCCAGATGTCCAGGGCCAACCCGAAGTGCAGGCAAACCTCAGATGGCAGCTGCCCAGCCACCCAGGGCCACCCAAGGCTCAGGTAACCAGGCTTGGCCAAGGCTTGCACTGCTGGCCATGGCAGCAGCAGAGGTGTGAGGGAGGCGTCACCTTCCCCTGACTGCCGGGTTGCCTTCCACCCTTATAGGCTCCCGGACTGTGAGAGGGGGCAGGCCAGGCTGAGGGACCCCACCCCCATCCAGTGCATGGATTTTCATGCACCAGGCCTCTAGTATATAATAAAAGTAATTCTATCTGATAAGAGGCAGGGAGTTGAGAAAACAGGTCTGGCTTACTCTTCAATAGTTCTCTTAGCTTACTCATCTGCCAGCACCAGGAAGATTATATTATACTTTTATTTTATTTTAATTTTTGGACTACTTTACCCTCCCAATCTTTTCCTCTTCAGTTTCCTCTTATTATTTGGTATGATGTGTCTATACCAGGTATTACAGGTAAAAATAATTAGTAACTATACTACCCTCAAGTGGAATATTTTGTCCTAATTTTCATTTGAAATTCCTTGATCAAAGATTTAGCAATTTTTAGGATAATCATAACTCAAGTTTATTTGAATCAATTTAGTTTAGATGTTGTTTCTGAAGTTCAAATAGTGAAATTCCAAATGCTGACTAAACTTCTGTAGTACTAATGGATATCTGGTGACTCTTTTAGGAGACATTCCTTTACATCTTAATATAAGGGAAGCTTCAGATACAGGCCAGCCGATTGTATTCTCCCAGCCTGAAAGTGATGAGGTAAGTGACATTTTAAAAATATGTATTTTCATTTCTCTTTAGAGATACGTACTTTTTGATATATGGAAAAAAGGCTGGGAAGATCAAGTTTATCTATTTGCAATGCATATAATAAACAAAAATTTGTAACTTATCCACAGCACTGTAAGTTACTATTTTGTATGGTAGGCATACCAGTGTTGGCCCTGAATTTCAACTGACCAAGTTCCCTCCAAAGAGTCATCACCAACCAGTTATCTCATGAAGAACATGCACAGCAAGAGTTTGCAGAGCTCATATCTTGCTGGCTATTTTATCCAGTTGTCTGAAGTTAAGCTGGTTGTTGGGAGAAGGAAACATAGTATAAAAACATTGAGTTGGATATAGAGAAAATGTATAAACCATTAGAGATGGAGTTTTCATTGCATTTATTTTAATAAATATGATTGGGAAAGTGAGGTGGAAAAACCAATAGTGTTTAATTAGGAATACCATTGATAAATTTTCAGCTGAAGCTTTATAATTTTAAGCCTAAAATATTTTTATTTTATTCTTTCTAAAAAATAGAAAATAAATCAATCACATATATCTCTTTTTCCTAAGTAGCACTTGCTATTAAATTAGAAACTGAGCCATCATCTAGTACATCAGTTTTGATACAGTTTTTGTGCTTATTTGCTGAATAGTCCCATTCTTCCAATAGTTTCTTTCTTATTTATATTTTTTTTAGCTAACAAGTATAACCTTACAGTACTGTTATTTTGCTTTTGTTCTTTTTAAAAATTGTAGTTGACCTACAATATTATATTAGTTTCAAGTGTACAGCATAGTGATTCAACATCTCTATGCCATGTGAAGTGATTGCCATGTCAATGCGTGTAACTTTCAGTCACCACGCAAAATTTTTCAGTATTATTGACTGTATTCCCTATGCTATACATTACATCCTATGGACTTATTTATTTTATAACTGGAAATTTATACTTCCTAACCGCCTTCACCTTTTTGCTCATCTCCCCACTCCTCTCCCCTCTGACATTTATCAGTTTGTTCCCTGCATCTCTGAGTCTGTTTCTGTTTTGTTTTGCTTCGTTGATGTTCTAGCCTTCAGATTTCACATGTAAGTGAAATCATATGGTATTTGTCTTTCTCTGTCTGACTTATTTCACTCAGCTAATACACTCTAGGTCCATTCATGTTTTCATAAATGGCAATATTTTTTATGGCTGAATAATAATATTCCTCTGTGTGTGTGTGATGTCTCAATAAAATGTATACACACTTTGAATAATTATTAATACCAATGAGTTAAATCTAAAAAGAAAGAAATATCAAGTGAGCTATCAGGAAAAAAGTGTGTATGCATTTTTGGGAATACCCTGTATATACCACATTTTCTTTATCCATTCATCAGTCAGTGGATACCTAGGTTACTTCCATTTTCTTAGCTATTGTGAGTAATGCTGTAATAAACATAAGGAATATATATATATATATATATATATATATATATATATATATATAATTTCAAATTAGCGTTTTCAGTTTCTTCAAGTAAATGCCCAGAAGTGGAATTGCTGGTTTCTAATAGTAGTTCAATTTTAATATTTTGAGGAATCTTCATTCTCTTTTTCATAGTGCCTACACCAATTTACTAACTCCACTAACAATGTATGAGGGCTCCCTTTTCTCTACATCCTAACCAACACTTGTTATTTGTTGTCTTTTTATAATAGACATTTTGACAGGAGGTGGGAGTGATATCTCAGTATGGTTTTGATACCTCCCTGATATTAGTGATGTTAAACAATTTTTCATATATCTATTAGCTATCTGTATGTCTTTATTGGAGAATTGTCTATTAGGTCTTCTGCCTATTTTTAAATTGGATTATTTTTTTTATGTTGAGTTGAATGAGTCTTTATGTATTTTGGATATTAACCCCTTATCAGATATATTATTTATAAATATCTCTATTCGGAAGGTTTCACTTTGTTGATGGTTTCCTTTGCTGTGCAAAAGCTTTTTTAGCTTGATGTAGTTCTATTTGTTTCTTTTTGCTTTATTGCTCTTGCCTGAAGAGACATATCCAAAAAATATTGCTAAGGCCTTTGTCACAAAGTTTACTGCCTATGTTTTCTTCTAGGAGTTTTATAGTTTCAGGTCTTACATTTAAGTCTTTAGCCCATCTGAGCTTATTTTTGTATATGGTATAAGAAAGTGGAAGAGTTTCTCTTTTTGTATGTATCTATTTTTGAATCACCATTAATTGAAGTGGTTATCTTTTTCCCCATTGTATATGTTTGCCTCCTCTGCCATAGATTAAGTGACCATATAAGTGTGGGTTTATTTTTGGTCTCTGTATTTTGTTTTATTTATCTACTAGAGGCTCAATGCATGAAATTTGTGCAGGAGTAGGCCTTCCTTCCCCCGGCTGCTGGCACTGGCTTCCCTCTAGCACCCAGGACGAGGCTTCCCTCACAGAGGGAGGCCCTGCCCACCCACCGCAGCCCACTGGTCAGTGGCCTGGGCTTCCCTCTGCGGGGCAGTCATGGAGCAATGGCTCCAGTGGGTGTCATAACATGGTCCCAGATGGGCATATGGATGGTTGTCCAGATTATTGTTCCTCTGTTCAGCCATTCAGTCAATTTGCATATTACTCTTTTATTATATAGGATGTGTCTGTGTTTGTGCTACTACCATACTATTTTGATTACTATAGCCTTATAGTATAGTTTGAAATCAGGGAGTGTAATATCTCCAACTTTGTTCTTTTTCAAGTTTGCTTTGGTTATTTGGGGTCTTTTGTGGTTTTATATAAAGTACTATTGTTTTGTCCATCCATAGCTACAACCCCTTCATTCTAGTTTGCTTTCTTTAATTTTGTATGTACTGAAAAATAAAAGAGCCAAGTTTGATTAGAGTTGTGAATAGAGTAAGAGTAAACAGACACCCAGCAGTGTAGGATAAGTGAAGTAGATTTATTTTAAATTGTCCCTTTCAGAGACCCAGAGCTTCTTCCCTTTCTTGAGAGTCAACATTTATAATCAAGTGATTGAATTCAGGGAATGTGCTGAGTAAATATAGTGTAGCACTTATCATTGTTTTTCTTCTTTAACTAATAAATGTTAAATTTCTCTTTCAGTCTTTACTTAGAAATCTTTCATATAAGCAAATTTATTACTTTTTACTTCTTGCATAATTAAAGTCTGGCAATCCCAACTACCCTAGTTGTACTTTATGCAGTGAATAAAAAGTTGTATGAAAATAGAGGGTTTAAAAAAACTGTACACTTTTAAATGTCTCCTGAGAACAGACTATTTAAAGACATTCTATGGTGATTATGTGAATAACATTAACTATTTATTTCAATAACATTAACTAGTGTATTTCAACTGAGTTTAGTTTTTTAAATATTTTTCCACTTTTCCATTGTTTCCATTTTCTTTGAGATTTACCAAAAGCAAGGAGCATTTCTAAGAAGTTAAATAAATGTAATATAATAGAGACTATATAATAATCATCAAAAGATAATATTTAAAACTCTGAACAACAGTGTGTGTGAAATATATAATCCACACCTGAGGATATGTTTATTGATGTTAGAGAGAGGAAGGGGAGAGAGAAAGAGTGAGTAAGAAACATCAATGTGAGAGAGAAACATCAATTGGCTGCCTCCCATATGCACCCTGATGGGGAACCAAATCCCAAACCTGGGTATGTGTCTTGACCAAGAATCAAATATGTGACCTTTAAATGTATTGGACTGTGCTCATTTGCATAAACATTAGATCCATTATTTTACTATTGTTGGGTGACATTTATGGGAATGTGAACAGCCTGACAATTTGTAGTTAAAGTTAGTTTTGATTTTGTATGGTGTGTTATAAGATATCCTGGTAAAGACTTTCAAATATAAGTGGAAAGTTTATCATCTTATAATTTCTTAATTAATACCTCATAGTCTTAATATGAAATGACTATATAAGATAAATTAGAATTTAAAATCTTTAAAAACAAAGAACAAAAGCTCTTTATAAAACTTCTTACACTTTTTTTGCCATCCATTTCCTTTTATTTTTTCATATGTTTTATTGATTTTTGGAGAGATAAATAGAAACATGAATGAGAGAGAAACATCATCAATTAGCTGCCTCCTGCGTGCCCCCTACTGGGGATAGAATTGTGACTTCTTGGTTCATGGGTCGATGCTCAACCACTCAGCCACAGTGGCCAGGCTCCTTTTACTTTTTTTTTTTTTTTTAATTTTTTTAGTGTTTAAAGTATTACATAAGTCTCCTTTTCCTCCCATTAACCTCTCCCCAGCTACTCCCATCCCCAAGCACATGCCCTCACCCCCCTACTCTCTGTGTTCATTGGCTATGCTTAAATGCATGCATATAAGTTCTTTGGTTTATCTCTTACCCTCCCTCCCTCCTTTTATTTATTAACTAGAGGCCCAGTGCACGAATTTGTGCACAGGTGGGATCCAGCCATTCCAACCCGATGGGGGGTCCATTGGGCCAGGCCAGCTGCTGGGAGGGGCGACTGGAGGATTGGGCCAGTTGGCCATAGCAGTGCGCATCATAGAAACAGGTTGTTCTGGTCATTCTAGTTGTTCTACTGTTCCAATTGGTTGGCTTTTGTATATATAGATAACAGAACAGACAAGTAAGATCCAGCTGTATTATCTCCTTCTCAAGGTGATCCAAAGACCTTGAATAGGTGAAGATTAGTTTCTGTAAAGTTAAGTTGATGAAAATGAATGTATTAATAGTTTGAGAAATCTAAATCACTTTTTTTTTTTAACACATGATGTGATTGTGTATGCTTTTTGCTAGTTATGGATTAAACAAAAGAAGGAATGTATTCCTTGGTCAAGAAAAGTGCCCAAAAGAACATATTGATATGAGTCCTTCAATGAGATTGTAAATTACTTTAAGACAGAATAGTAATAATAATGGCCACTAATATTTATTAACTGCTTCTTTTGTGCCAATACTTCACATACTTTGTTCTTACTTAGTACTTTCCAAATTCTTTGAGGTAGATAGTGTTGTTATAACCATTTTATAGTTGTGGAAAATGAGCCTAGAATATTTAAGTAACTTGCCAAAAGTCTCAGAGATAATAAATAACAGAGCTAAGATTTTAATCCATGCTTGTCTGACTTAAAGGCCCCAACTTTTCACCAGTGAGCTATTCTATGTTCTCTTTATATCATTGCTTCCCACTGATTTCCCAAAACAATGCATTACACGCACAGTAAAACCAACTGTGTTGAAGTAATACTGCATTAGCTGAAAAAATTCAATCTTAAAAGTTTTATAGGAATTGAAACTATTAAACTAAGTACTTTTAGTGGTTTCTCAGCAAATGACAATCAAATCATTACTTTAAGTATCATATGTTGAAAGTTTAAGCTTGGAGATAGGCCATTAAAAAGCAAAGGTTAAATGTAGCAAATTTGATTATCCTGGAATTATTCAGTATTTTGTGCCTCCTGATAGGTATGTCTGTAATTTAACATAAGTATGAATAAAAGATTATAGAATGATGACCTTATCTCAGGTTGCCTTAGTGAACTTTAAATTTTCATCATAAAATATTATACTTAAATACCTAGAAAAAATACTAGGAGAATAAAAAGATATTCATAAAGATGCTTAGCTGAAAATCAGCATGTTAGATTTAAGAGAATTATTTCCTTATGAAATCTATGTTATTTTCATTATTTTTATTTTTTCCAAATATATTTTAATTGACTTTCAGAGAGAGGAAAGGAGAGGGAGAGAGAAGGGGGCGGGGCGAGGGGGGAGTGGAAGGAGAGGGACAGGAAGATAAAAACACCAATAATGAGAGAGAATCACTGATTGGCCACCTCTTGCACACCCCACACTGGGAATCCAACCCACAACTGGGTCATGTGCCCTGACTGGAATCTGACTGTGACCTCCTGGCTCATGGATCAATACTCAACCATTGTGCCACAACGGCTAGATAGTTATTTCCATCTCTACTAATAAAAGGGTAATATGCTAATTAGACCAGATAAACTGGACATCTTCTGGACATGATTCTGGATGTCCTTCTTGACAAAGCTGGATTTCGGGCGAAGCTGCTCAATTGGACATTCCCAGATTGCAGAAGGTGCAGGCCAGGCTGAGGGCCACCCCCATGCATGAATTCTCTAGTTTTTAAATAAAAGCTATTGGGAAAAAAAAGATAGCAGCTGGCAGGATGGAGGTGAGGGAGAGGATGTGAGTGAGTGAGTGAGTGAGTGAGTGAGTGAGTGAGTGAGTGAGTGAAAGGAGAGAGTGTGGTGTATATGAGTGAGTGAGAGACAGTTAAATCAGGCAGGAGCAGCATGGGTGCTCTTGGATAGGGAGAGACTACCACTGCTGCGGGCAATCCCCAGTCTGCGGGGCTCGGCACGGAGCCCATGCCATCTTGAAGGGGAGAGCAGCCTCTACTAGGAACTCAGGACCACTACCCAGTCAGGCCTTGGATACTGCCCACAACCAGCAGCCGCTCCAGCCAAAATCCTGCTGCCTCACCAGCAGACTCGCAGACCCTGAAACCTCCACCTCTAAAGGTGCACCACTCCCACAGCAGTAAGTGCGACTTCCCCCCTCCCCAGTGGCGGGCCTCCGGACACCACAGTCGCGTGTTTCCAGTGCATAGGCCTCCTGGGCAGACCACTCCACCGGCAGCTCTTGGATGCCACGTTGGGTGTGATTTTTCACAGACAAGGGTGTGCTGCTCCGCGGTAGAAATTCTGAATCCCCACTTCATGAGTAACTGCCCACAGACACCCCAGCTGTGCAACTTCAGTGCCAGGACCCCTCAGAGTGTGTCAGAGCTCCGTGCCAGCAAACGCACTGCCACAGTCACAGTCAAGTGTTTCCAGTGCACAGGCCCCCTGAGCCCATCGATCCACAGGGCGCACTTGGGAGCCTCTCTGAGCCCCTGTTGGGTGTAATCTTGGACAAATAGGGATGCATTCCCCCAGCAGTAGAAATTCTGAATTCACTCATCCTGGATACCTACCCACAGACACCTCGATTGAGCAGCTTCAGTGCCAGGGCCCTTCAGAGTGCCTCAGTGCACTGCGCTGGCAAACGCACCTGTGAGCCGCTACTGGGAGCATGAGCATATCCAACCATGGGCACAGCAACAAAAAACTGAGTCTTCCCACCCCACAGCTGTAGAACTCTGGACACTATAGTCATGCACTTTTCTAGTGCACAGGCCTCCCAAGCCCACCACTCCAAAGGCAGCTCTTGGGCACCACTGAAAGCCCCCACTGGGCGCACACTTATACAAACAGGGGCACACTGCCGGGGTGTAGAAACTCTGAATTTCCTCTTCTGGGATACCTGCTCACAGACACCTTGATTGTGTGGCTTCAGTGCCAGGGCCCTTAAGAGTGTGTCAGTACACCCTGCTGGCAAACACAGCATGGGTGCCCCTGTCAGCCGCCACAGGGGCGTGTGTATCCAACTATAGGGGTAGCAGCAAAAGCTGAGTCTGCCCACCCCTTAGCTATAGAACTCTGGACACCACAGTCATGCCTTTCCAGGGCATAGGCCTCATGTCCCCACTACCCCGACAGATGGCTCCTGAGTGCCACTGTGAGTCCCTGCTGGACACATGCAATTTCAACCAAGGGTGCAAGGCAGCAAAAATTGGGACACCCCACTTCATGGCTGCTGACTTCTAGACACCGCAGTTGCACCTTTTCAGCTCACAGGCTAACATCAAGAGAACCCATATAGTTCAAGTAGGGCGCTACACTAGATTACCAAGCCCAGTAGACCTGAGAGATCACACCAGTAGCACCACCCCCAAAAAGAGCCTAGGTAGCAAAGCAATGGGTCTACAATTAAAATGTTACAGCAAAACATGGGAAGACAAGAAAGCAATCCCCAAAGGAAAGAAAAAGAGGAATCACCAGAAAGGGAGTTAAATAGTTAAATGAAATTGAAGCCAGTAACATGTCAGAGAAAGGATTCAGAGTAATGGTTATAAGGATGCTTAGACAGCTGGATGACAAATACACACAACTCAGTGACAAATACAACTCAATGAGAATGTCACCAACATGAAAAGGAACCAAGAGGAAATGAACGACATAGCTGCAATCAAGAATGTAATGGGAGGCTCAAACAATAGACTAGAGAGGCTGCGGACCACATCAGCAAGTTAGAAAATACAAACACAGCAGCAACTGGACAGAAAATTTAAAAAGTAGAGGAGAGGCTAAGGGAGCTTTGGGACAACACAAAATGAAACAACATTTGCATAATAGGGGTCCCAGAAGAAGAGGAAGAGAAACAAGGAATAGAAAACCATTGGTCTATATGTCTGTTCTTGGGCTAGTACCAGACAGTTTTGAGAACAGTGGCTTTGTAATATATCTTGATATCTGGTATTGAGATCACTCCTACTTTGTTTTAGCTACAATTAATCATAGTAGTTGGAGTAGCAGTAGTATATACTCAAATCCTATATAATAAAGAGGTGATATGCAAATTGACCATCACTCCAACACACAAGATGGCCACCTCTATGTGGTCAAAGGTTGCCACCCCCACATGGACACAAGATGGTTGGCATGGGAGGACAGTTGTGGGCAATCAGGCCATCAGGGAAGAGCATTGGGGGCAACCAGGCCTACAGGGGAGGGCAACTGGGGGCTCCAGGCCTGCAGGCGAAAACAGTTGGGGGTGACCAGGCTGGAAGGGGACGGAAGTTAGGGGCAATTGGGACAGCAGGGGAACAGTTAGACGTCAATCAGGCTGGCAGAGGAGTGGTTAGGGGGTGATCAGGCTGGCAGGCAGAAGTGCTTAGGGGCAATCAGGCAGGCAGGCAGGCAGGCAGTAGGGAGCCAACAGTCCTGGATTGTAAGAGGGGTCCCAGATTGGAGAGGGTGCAGTCTGGGCTGAAGGACACATACACCACCAACATCACCCCCTACTCCACCCCCTGTGCGCAAATTTTGTGCACCAGGTCTCTAAGTATATACATGTATAAACTAATAATTTAATAAATTATTGTGTCCTGCAGTTACTTTTATAGATAAAATGGAAGAAATAAGAAATAAAATTTAGCTGAAATCAGTTTGGCTCAGTCAATAGAGCATCGGCCTGCAGACTGAAAAGTCCCAGGTTTGATTCCGGTCAAGGGCATGTACCTTGGTTGCAGGGACATCCCCAGTAGGGGGTGTGCAAGAGGCAGCTGATGGATGATTCTCTCTCATCGATATTTCTCTCTATCCCTCTCTCTTCCTCTCTGTAAAAAAATCAATAAAATATATTTTTAAAAAATAAAATTTACATTGCAATTATTTAAAACCCTTAAAATATAAATGACCATTGTTCAAACTGGACTGTGGGCTCTGGGTTAGTTGGTGGCCCACTCGGTGGCCTGGGGGCTGCTCGGAGAGTTTCCCGGGGAGTGCCAGAGACGAAGAGCATGGCAGTGACCCCCTGGTCCCCGACACTCACCGGGGGAGGAGCCCAAGTGCTGGTGCTGCGCTAGAGCCATTCTCAGAGAGAAGGGAGACATGCTTTCCATGGACACACTGTCAGGTGGTGAGTAATGGTCCTCTTTAAATGACTGACAACTCTGATACCACACAATTGTGGGCAAGAATCTAACTCAGTATATTAATTTGTCAGAAGAAGGAGGTATAATTGTTCTGCAACTAGATTAGGTTGCTCGTTTGCTGACATAGGAATTAGAGTTTTAAAAACAGTAATTGCTGGTACTAAATTTTTTTTTTCAGATAGTCACCTTCCAAGTAGTTACCTCCAAGTAATCTAAAATTATTTTCCCTGTCCCACCGACAGTGTATCTCCGCTCTCCTGAATTTCTTCCGCTCAGCCTTTTTACTATTAAATTCAAAGGATAATGATGGCAAGCAGTTCATGAGTCAGTTGATGTGTGCTGGGGAGAAGTATAGAACACACTCTCTGTTCTTTTCCAGGCCAAAGCTTACCTGAGGTTAGCTGTGGAAGTGGTCAGAAGATTGCCACCACCCCTGCAGTGACTCCCACAACTTACCTGCTGCAGGACTAGAAGGAGACCTTTAGGAACAGCAGTGTGATGGTAATTCCTACAGAAATAATAGCAATCACAGAAATAGTAGCAACCTTGTATTTCCAAGGAAATCATGTCTTATCTTCAGGTTTGATTTGCCAAACAATGACTCAGATAAATAAAGTTTTTGCATTATCAGTGCTAAATATTACATTTAGGAATTGTTGTGAAAGTTGATGTGAACCAACTGCACAGAATTGCATTTTATTGTATTGAGCTACCCTTTGAAGAATCATGAGTTTATATTACAAGTCCAACCTTCAGTTCAGGAGAAAACTGCACTCTTTTTAAAGGATTTGCTAAATTTGTATAAGGACACAAGTGTGACACCCTCCACCAGACAGTTTGGTATGGGTTTGAATCCTGCCTCTAATACTCTGTTGAACATATTTTTAATGTAGATTAAAACTCTATTTCACCTGGACCTGAGCCTACCCTAGACTTAATCTGAATCTCCAGGGATAGGGCATGAACATGTGGACTTTAAAAAATTTTTATTTTAGTGTTGCTAGTATTACAGATGTTCCCATCCCCTCCTCCCAGCCCCTGGACATATGTATTTTTAACCAGATTCCAATGATTTTGATGAATCATATGATGTCAATAATAGCAATAAGAATTAACATGTATCAAATGTTTTCTTGTGTCTTTATGTTAATCTTCCTTTCATATGAGGGTGGATAATGTTGCTATCTCCATTTTACAGATGAGAAAACTGAGGTATAGGAAAGTTAAGTGTCTTCTCCAGGGTTACTATTTTAGGAAAGCATGGATCTGAGATTTATACATGGGCACTTGTATTACTGGATCCCTCCTTTTCAAAAAGGTGTATTTGTTTATTTCAAAAGAGGAATATAGTATGCAGCATTTCCTCAAACTCACTTGACCATGAAACTCCCTATTCTCACACCCACCTTTTAGAAGGAGTTCATTTTTTTTAAATTCATTTTTTAAAAAAATACACTTTGAAAAACGTGTATCTTGTCTAGTTGAGGCTAAGAAAGAGAGAGGGAGGGAGGGAGAGAGAGAGAGAGAGAGAGAGAGAGAGAGAGAGAGAGAGAGTGAGTATGTGTGTGTCGGGGGCTTCCCAGGTTCAAGTAGCAAGATAGTTGTGAAGCTGCAAGTACTGATGAGTCATTAGTTAACCCTCAGTTGTAGGGAACTGGTCTATGACATTTGGCAAATGCCTTCTCTTCCTTTGCTATGTAGTTAAGCAGCCAGAAAACTAGGCAAAAACTTACATGCCATTATAAACATGTTTGACACACTTATGTTCACATAAAAGACTGTACATGGTTGTTTATAGCAGCTTTATTTGTAACAGCCAGACCATCGAAGAGCTTTTCAGTGGGTGAATGATTAAACAAACTGTGGTTTATCCATACCATGGAATATTACTCAATAAAAAAGAACAAACTCTACCTGGCTGGTGTGGCTCAGTGGCTGAGCATCTACCCATGAACCAGGAGGGCATGGTTTGATTGCCAGACAGGGCACATGCCCAAGTTGCAGGCTCAATCCCCAGAAGGGGGTGTGCAGGAAGCAGCTGATCGATGATTCCTTCTTACCATTGTTGTTTCTATCTTTCTCTCCCTCCCCAATTCTCAGAAATCAATTAAAAAATATAAATGTTTAAAAAAGAACAAACTAGTGGATACATGCTACAACCTGGATAAATTCCAGAGAATTATGTTGAACAAAAAAGCTAATCCCAAAGGTTATGTATCATATGATTCCATTTATATAATATTCTTGAAATAACAAAATTATAGAAATGGTGAACTAATTATTGGTTTCCAGGGGTTACAGAAGTGGAAGGAGGTTGTGTGTGTCTATAAAAGGGCAACACAAGCAATCCTATGTCATGACTGTATTGATGTCAGCATGTTGGTTGTGATACAGTTTTTCAAGATGTTACCATTTTGGAGGAAATTGGGTAAAGGGCACAGTGGAATCTATCAGCATTAAATGTTAGAACCATACTAGAGGCCCAGTGCATGAATTTGTACATAGGTGAGGTCCGGCTGGCCTGGCTCCAATCAGCAGATCGGGGCCCTGTCAGGGTCAGGATGGCTGAGAGGAGGGGCTGTGGGCAATTGGCTAACAGGCCCCACCCCTAATTGGAGGGGGGGGGGGGGCTGAGGGTGGTGGACCATGTGGACCTGCCCCTTATTGGATTGGAGGAGCTGATCAGGGGCCAGTGACCTGGGGGAGGGGCCGTGGATGGTTGGCTGGCCGGCCCTGCCCCTGATCAGAGGGGGAGGAGGGGCAATAGGGGGCAGAGTAGACCTAGGGGAGGGGCAGCAGGCAGTTGGCTGGCCAGCCCTGCCCCTGATCAAGATGGTGGGAACCCATCTGGGGCAGGACTAGCTGGGGGAGAAGCCATGGGAAGTTGACCAGCCAGCCCCACCCATGGATTGGGCCAATTTACTAGCTGCAGTGGGCTTCATAGAGATTGGTTGTTACGGTTATTACATTGTTCCTATTGCTGGCTTTTTATATATATAAATGAGATTCTAAAATTATTTCAAAATAAAAATAAAATTTTAATTAAAAAAAACAACATGTGCTGCTGTGTCTGAACTGAATGTCCTAGAACAAATTATCCAACCTAATTCAAATCATGAATAGGAGTATTTGTGGAGATACAGCAATCATCATTCATCACTCTAAGAAGGAAGTAATCACTTTAAGTTGTAGACATTTACTTGTGCTTTTATTGTTTTTTTGCAGGGAGGTCAAAACAGAGCAATTCTTAAAAAAAAAAAAAAAAAAAAAAAAAGCAAGTGTTTGAGCCAAACTAAACTATACCTACAAAAGAATGATTTAAATAAGCTTCAGAAGCTCTTAAATTGTGAGCCATAACTTAATAATCTGATGGAGAATGAGATAGTCTTAACTCATAAATGCATGACTTAGTGAAGATTCACATGAGTAATCATCCATTCTCTCTCCTCCCTCATCTACCAGTCTCTGCAGATGCTTCCAGGAAAGCCACTGGAACAATGAATATATGAGAGTTCAGACGTGAAGGGAGGACAAGTTGCTATAATGGCAAGAATGAAGCTTATTCTAAAATTTGCCCATGGCAGCCTTTACTAAGCCTCTGAGAGCTGACTTCAAAGACAGACTATTAAGCAAAGCTAATCTGCCTGTTGTCAGGGTAATATTTATTTTTCATCATTTCCATAGAGTGCAGAGACTTGCCACTTCACTATCCAGAAGGGAAAGACCGGCTCCCCAACTTGCTCTGTTCCAGAAAGGAGGAGTGACTCACCTTGTGGGTAAATTCCTTCCTGTCTGCATTTCTTTGATTTCAGCCAAATCCTGGCTTCAGGGGGCTGCAGGGGAACCGGAAGTTGTCCGCCTCTGTCTCAGGCCCTGGGGAAAAGTCCCTCTAAGTTAGGGATAAGGTGTTTGGTGACCCAATGTGCTCACATATCTTCTAATCCAGCTATTTTTCAATAATAAAGCTATTTTTTTTTTTACCTTTATCTGAATTCTGTGTCTCTCAGTTAAATAGGGGAAGAATCCTCCTAACCACATTCCATGAAATCACAAAATACCTTTCTAGAACCCTATACAGTTAAAACCAAAGAACATATTAGAGTTTGGTGTATTTGAAGCACCTGCGGTAAGAAATAAGTTTACCAATGACCAGAAGAGTGTGGGGAGTGTGGGGGGAGGGGAGTTATTATGAAGTGTACTACATATAAAACAGCACAGAAGACAAATATACAGGTCAATTAATTCTCTACCCCCAGGTGAACACCCCTGTAACTACTAGTAACAGTTTAAAGAGGGCACTGCCAGATCCTGGAATCCCGTCTTTTCCTTCACCATCTCTACCTTCTCCCTTACAAATTACCCCATTCTGATGTTTCAACACCCAAGCCTGTGCCCTTAAACATGACAGTTTTGCCTGTTTTTTGAAGTTTATATTAGACAGAATTATACAGTATTCTGCTCTCTATTAACTGCTTTTATTTTGCTCCACATTGACTGCTTTCATTCTATATTGTGTTTCAAGATCCATGTCTGTTGCATTTGGTGTGCATTGTTCATATTCTTTCCTGCAGAAAGTTCTATTGTTTGCATACACAACTTATCCATTCCATGGCAGGTGGATATTTGGATTGGTTTTAATGTTTTTCTATTACAAATGACACTGTCCTGAACATTCTTGTACATATTTTCTTGGTGTTCATGTGCTTGAGTTTCTGTTGAGCTATTGTTTAGTGCTATTTCATTGTGGCTTTAACTTGCATCTCCTGATTACACCTTTTCTTACATTTATTGATTAATTCCTCTTTTGTGTAGTGCCAAGTCGAACCTCTTGCCCATTTTTCTATTGTGTTGTTAAAAAATATACTTTTTATATTTTTTAATATGAATCTTGAGAGTTTTGTGTATTGCAGGTATCTTTTCTACTATCTATGACTTGCCTTTCACTGCCTTACTGGTATTTTTTGCTAAAGTATCTAAATTTTAATGTACTCAAATTTACCACTTTTTATGATTATTAATTTTTGTGCAGTGTCCCAACACATGAAGATATTGTCCTATATTAACTTCTAAAAGTTATAGAATTGTAACTGTGGAACAGTTAGAGAATTCTTCTGTGGGACAACAGAAGAATCTAGAACTCCTGATGCTGCTAACAGAAGGGAATTTGCACCTACTCATAGGCCTTTGTCTATGGGCCTCACTGGGTGCGGAAGAGAATAATTGAGCATGGGGCAGGGACCGGAAAAAGCCTTCCTTAGTGGTAGGTCTTGGAAGAAGAGAGAAGCTGCCTCTGTGACAAAAACACAAAGCCCTGCCTGACCCTCTTTCTCTGTGAGATGAATACCATAAGTCATGGGAAGGATAGCAGAACTTGGCCTCAGATGATGACTGTGGAAGAGAAAATAGAAAAACCCTCAATTCCCAAGGGAGGAACAGGAAGCC